GCTCTCCTGCACAGGACACCTGGCTCCAAGGGCTCCTACCTGGCTGTCCTTTGCCAGCAGGTGGATATAGTCCTCATAGACACCCTTCAACTTCTCCAGCTGGCGGCTGCGCAGCTTCCTATGGGTGATGTACCTGCTGTAGACCTTGGAGCTCAGCTCCCTGGCCAGGACAGCCAGGGACTCTCCTTGTGGAGACAGTGTGTTGAGGACCTGGGAAGACAAAGAGGGTCTTAGGAAGGAGGAACAGAGACAGAGCAGAGAGACAGAGCAGGATTTAAAGCTGCTGTGAGGGGAGCACAGGAAGATTCTGATTCCCACAATGCTGAGTAGATGGTGAGGAAGAAAACACAGCCAGGGCAGAGCAGGGGCTTCTCTGGCTGCTCCACACAGGGAACAGACAGCCTGCACCTAATAACCTGGGAAAACTCTCAGGAAGTTCTAATTTTGCTGGACATTAGTGCTCTGTGACAGCCCCATGGCTGATAGTCTGGCCCTGCTCCCATGAGGCAGGGCAGGTTCCTACCTGCAGCATGATGCCTGCGTACTCCTCATCGGGCAGCAGACACATGTAGGGGTAGAGGTTGTTGTAATTCGACAGTGTCCTGGCCTTGGCCATGCTCTGCTTGGACTTCTGCAGGGCCTGGAGGATGGCATCGTGCCACTGGGAGCGGAGGGTGCCCAGCAGCTCACGCTGCATGGAGAAAGAAGACAGCTGGTCAGTTAGTTGACCACCTCTTCAGCCCATGGACCCCCACGTCTCCCCCACAGGTCCCAAGGGCTGCAGTGCCCCCCTGCCCCCAGACCTCTTGAGCTTTACCGCTTTGACAGCCTGCGGGGTTGGGGGCTTGGCTGCCTCCACTGACTCAATGGTTATGGTGTTGTTCAACTCCATCTGCAGCTGCTGCTGGAAACGCTCCTGCAACTCCTCCACGGAGAAATCCAGCTTGGGGTATGACACCACCTTTTCCTGAAACAAGTGCAAGGCACTATGTCATGCTCATCCTCCCAGCTTCCCTCCAAGAGGCTTGCAGAACAAGTCCAGACTGGACTGGTAAACCCCACAGGCAGCTCTGCTCCTGGTCATGGCCAAGCATCTCCCCACACAGCCCTTACAACACATGGAGGTCACCTCCAGGCCCCTGCCAGCCCTTGGCTTCACTGTTCTTCTGTAAGGGTGTTGGTAACATCATCCATTTGATGACTTGTGTGGGCTATTGATGCTAAAAATTCTTCCTTTATGGAGTCCTGAACTGGACCTGAGAACACCTGTGAACACCACCTGGCCAGGTCCAACACCTCCCTGAGCTCTGTGGCTTACTTTGGAGTAGAAGTCCTGGAGCAGAGAAGACTTGCAAGTCTGGGGCTTGGGTGGAGGGGGCAGCTGGTAGTTGGGCAAGACAGTCCTGATGGCACTCAGAACCTTCTCCTTCTCATCTTCCTCAAAGAGGCACTTTTCGAAGAGCTCCTCCACGTGGAAGCCATCGCTCTTCAGCTGCTCCAGGTATCTGAGGAGGGGCAGACAGGACAGGTTTGATCTTCCCCAGGGGCCTGAGCATGTTGTGCAGGAGCTGCTGGGGCAGGATTTGCCTCAGCACAGCCTGTCCCACAAGGTCACCCGCCTCAGGTTACAGGGATCAGGTGTCCATCTCTCAGCCTGCACCACTCTGGAGCCCCAGCCTGGGCAGGGAGGCTGAGCTCCAGCTGCTCGTGGGCAGCCCCACGGTGTGTGCTGCACTGACACAACTCCCACACCAGGCAGGATGGGCACTGCCAGCCCCCTCAGAATCACATGACTGAAGATATTCACTTGGAGACATCTAGAACTTGTCATGCCAGCCAAGGACACAGAGGTCAGCGATACATCCCCAAGGTGTTTGTGCAGCACTAGCAGATCAGCAGCTTTCTCCATCCTCTGGCGAGGAGCTGGTTGTACAGACAGCCCCAGGTACTGCCCCTAGACCCAGTCTGTGGGCTCTCACAGGGCTCCTTCAGCTCCCTGCCTCGGCCTCACACTTTCCCACCTGCTGTGCTCCATGAGATCCATCTGAATCTCCTGACCACGCTCCTTCGGAGAGCCCTGTGGGAATTGGCTATCTAGCTGAGCCTACCAAGAAGGGGAAACTGCATGGAAGTGCTGTAAAAACAAACAGGGGAGTCAAGCCATTCTCACCAGGCAGCGACAGAGAGGCCAGCGGAAGCAAGATGCCCAGGATGGGTGGGGAACCAAGGAGTCCCTGACTGGAGAGGGGCTCTCCCAGCTCAGCTTTGGGGAGAGAAGCAGCTGTTCTCACCTCCCACATCTCCTCTCCCTGCATGATCTCAAACTCCCTAGCAGCTGGGGGTGGCAGGGAGGGTGCTACAGGAGCTCTGCCTGCCCCAAAATGTGGCCGTGAGAAAACGGTCAGAGCATCCAGGCGTGCAGGCCACAGGGGCCCCAGCCCCGTGTGTCTCCCAGTTCTCCCAGCACAGGCTGTGGAGCTGGTGCCCCAGGGCTCAGCAGCACCTGAGGCAGGTGTTACCTCTGGATGGCTTCGGAAGGTGACTGGTTCCGGCCCATGCACTGCAGGGCTGCTGCGTAGGAGTCCAGGCTGGGACGGAGCCCGACAGACTCCAGCATGGAAAACAGCTGGTCGATGTGCTGCAGGCAGCCCTGTGGATGAGCAGGGAAGGGGGCTGCGGACACACAAACACCAGCAGCCCCAGAATCATAGCTTCACGCCCCTCCTATTTGTATTTAGCCATCTCTACCTCGCCCCTTCCCCATCCCCTTCTTCTCCTCAAAGCCACCTCACAGGGATTCGTGGCCTCATGCCAGCTCTGTTCCTCTTGCCAGAAACCAAGCGCTCCCCGAACATTTGCTGAAGAGAGGTGTGACAACCACACGTAAAACCATGAGCAGTTCAAGGCTCTTCCTCCTGAGCCAGTCCTTCTCCCACCCAGAGCACCCGTGGCTTGATACCTTCCTGGCCCAGCAGCGCATCACGATGTTGTAGGCACTGACATCCAGCAGCTTCTGCTTCACTGGAGATCTGTGGTACAGTGTGAGGATCCGCTCGGCCTGCTCCGGCTGCTGCAGGAACAGGAAGCACTCCAGGCTGGACAAGATGGTCTCCTGCAGGACCTTGTCCTGGCTGCTCTCCTTGTCCTTCAGCACCCTCTGAGGACTCTCCAGCTTCATACCTTCCTTCACTGCCACCACTCTGGGCTTGCTGTGGGTGTAGAGGCTGTGGGGAATGGTGGAGCTCTGGCTCCAGGCAGTGGCTGCTTTCACCTTTGGAGCTTTAGAGGTCTTCAGGCTCTTCGTGGGTTTTGCTTTGGGTTTGCCTTTGGCCTCTCCCTTGGCCTCTGCCTTGGCCTTTAGCTTGGCCTTTGGCTTGGCCTCTGCCTTGACCTTTGGCTTGGCCTCTGCCTTGGCCTTTGGCTTGGCCTCTGCCTTGGCCTTTGGCTTGGCCTCTGCCTTGACCTTTGGCTTGGCCTCTGCCTTGGCCTTTGGCTTGGCCTCTGCCTTGGCCTCTGCCTTGGCTTGGCTCCCCAGATCCAGCTGGGAGGCAGCCATGGATAATTTCCGCTCCAACTTCAGCTGCTGGACACACGTCTCCTTGTGCAATGTCTCGACCCAGCTGTGGGGCCGGGCTGGGCACCCCCCTGCCCTGGGAACAGGCTGCTCCTGCGTGGGGCCAGGGGCCATGGCCTGCTGCAGAGGGTTCTGGTGCTTCTCATTGCCCAGTGGGGACAGCTCCCCCTTGTTGACTGTCACCTCTGGAGCATTACTGCTTTGGAGCTGCTTTGCTCGAGCTTTGAGCACTGGAGGGAAACAGAGAGAGGTGACGGGATGCAGTGCATGGCAGAAGGTTCTGTCCTGCCCAGGACCTCCCTCTGGGAGTGCCAAGAACGTGCTCAGAAAAGAGAATCCACACAAGAACTTTATCCCATCTTGGCCAGCCCCACTCCCAGACACAGATTCTGACCACTGTCTCTCTGGGATCCACCTGCATGCAGGCTGGGGCCCATCCCAGCAACCCACCCCAGTATCCCAAGAACCAAGCTGTGGCTGGTCTGACTGCTGCCTGCTCACTGTAGCTCTCCAAGCACTCACCTTTCAGCAGCTCTGTCCTCTCGCAGGTGCTGTCCCTGTTCGCCTTCTCCTTAGTGCTGGCGGATGAGTAGCTCCTGAGGACGCTCCATGGAACTCCTGCCGAGGAAAAATATGAAGGTGCAGGGGGTCAAAGGAGGCTTCACCCCTCAGAGTGCCCCCTGCCCCCAAGCCAAGACACACGGTCAGGCCCCAGCTGGGCACAGAAGTGACTTTTCTCAGCTCAGCTGCCCCAGCAGCAGTGCAGAGGGCCGGAAGGAACAGGAGGGACAGGGATGCCCCTCAGCCCCTGGATCCGGACGCAGCTGCGTGCCGGGGGATGCTCGGGCCCTGCCCGAGCCCCGGTGTCCGCGCTCACCGGGCCCCCTCAGCCCGCCCGGGCCCCGCAGCGCCGCCCGCAGCCGCAGCAGCGCCATCCCCGCGCCGCGCACGCCGCCCGCCACCGCGCATGCGCCGGTGCTGCCGCGCGGGACCCCGGGAGCGCGAGTCCAGCCGCACCGAACTACAACTCCCATGGTGCATCGCGGCCGCGCCGCTGCTCCCCTCCCTCGCGCCCCCTGGCGGCCGTGGCGGCCCCGACGGGACGGGAGTGGAACCGGGACACGGGACACGGCGGCACCGGGACACGGGACACGGGACACGGCGGCACCGGGACACGGGACATGGGACACGGGGGCACCGGGACACGGGACACGGGACACGGCGGCACCAGGACGGTTCCCACCTGGGCGCCCTAGGGCAGCCGAGTGACCGCGTCCGGTAACCCGGGGCAGCCGTCGGGACGCGGATTTATGAATGGGAGGCCCCGCCTCCGGCCCCTCCCCGCCCCTTGGCCACCGCCCTGCCCAGGCCGCCCCTCCCTGACCGCCCGCGCCGTCGGGGCCGGTCGCCGGTCGCGGCCGCGGCAATGGCCCATCGCCTGTCGCCCGCCGCCCGCCCGCCGCCCGTCGCCATGAGGCGCGGGGGCCCCGCTGCCATCGCTGCGTGCCTCGCCGGGGCGCTCGCTGTGCTGGCGGGACCGGGCAGTGCCACCGGGACCGGCCGGCGACCTCCCCGCAGCTACGGGCACCTGGAGGGCGACGTGCGCTGGCGGCGACTCTTCTCTGCCACTCGCTTCTTCCTGCACATCGACGGCGGCGGCGGCGTGGAGGGGACGCGCTGGAGGGAGCGGCCGGGCAGTGAGTGTGGCCGGGACCGGGACCGGGACCGGGGAGAGCCGGGGCCTGGGGCCACCCCCCGCGGCTGCCCCGCGCCCACGGCGGGCGAGAGCCCGATCCCACCGGGTGCCGGGGCTGCGGCAGAGGCGGGCGCTGCCGGGGCGGAGGCTGGACGGGGGTGCCTCGGGACGGGGACAGGACCCTCCGTGCCCGGCTCGGAGATCGTCCGCAGCTCCTCCCGCTGGGGGAACCTCAGCCAAAGCGCCTCCTCCTGTAGGGGCTCGGGAGCGGCGGGAGCTACTGTCCTCTCCGTCCCCGCTGTCCCCTCTGTCCCTGCCGGGCGAGACACGTCACTCCTCGAGCACAACCTGCTCCGGCTGCCCTCGCCCCGGGAGCTCCTTCCCGAGGCTCGGCCGCCGCCGCCCCGTGGGAGCCGTGAGAGGGGCGCGGACACCAGCAGGCACTGCCTGGGGACCCGGCGTTGCTGGGGTGACCGGGGGGAGGTGTTGGTCCCTTGTCCCATCTCGTCCTGCCAGCGCAGCCATGAGGTCACCCATCTGATCGATCCCCTCAATCACACTGAGGAGGATAAAGACTGAGGAGGAGGGACATAGGAAGTTTCGTGGTGATGCTGATCCCAGAATGGAGCATCTCTCAAGTGTGGGAGAGTGGAGCAGCCCTGTTGAACGGGACCATTCCACAGCTGCTGCCTGTGGAGTGTTTTGGGGCTTGGCATGGGGGCACCCAGGTGGGCAGAGGGACAGAGTTCCCAGAGCCCCCAAGGACTTGGCACCCACTGTGTGTTTTTCAGCAAGAGTCAGGGCTGCAAGCATCCAGGTTTCAGCCCATCAGGGTGTGTAGTCCCAGCCCCTGTGACAAGGAGAGGGCACCGTTTTGGCAGAACAGTGGTTGGACGGGGGGTCCTTGGGAAAGGGGGATACCTGAGCATCCCTGGGGTGCCCTGGCAGGGTGTGGGGGCTTGGGGCAGGAGGCATGCAGCACCCCCAGCCCATGTCCTGGTCTGGTGGGGACAGCCCTGTCTCCTGGCCAGCACAGGGTGAGGGAGCCCAGCCCAGCCCAGGGAACCCTCCTGTGGTGTCAGAGGCTGTTGGGAGTCCCGACCAGGCACATTGCCAGCACAAAGCACCCCAACACGTTCCCTCGGCTGGGTGGCCATGGGGCCTGGCAGGCAGAGCAGCCCTGGGCTGTTGCACGGGACTCACTCTGCTTATCTGAGTATGCCTGGGCTGGGCTCCCCTCCACAGCCCTCGTGGAAGCTGCTGGACCAGCCCCACTGGCAGCTGCAGGGTGGCGGGGGATCTCCCAGGGACTCCCCCACCTCAAGCCCTTCTTCTGCCCCAGCCTCCTCAGGACCCCTCTGAGGGCTGAGAGTGTGAGACTGGGGGCACTGGGAGCTGTCTCTGGGCAGGCACTGGCCAGGCACCTGCAAGCAAAGCATGGCAGAGCCAGCCAGGGCGCTGGGGACAGTGGTGGGGGGTTATTTTTAGAAAAGCACAAGTCCTTATAAATAGCAGCAGCTCCAGATTGTGATCAAGCAGGACAGATTTGCAGCCCTTCTCCTCCACTGCTGCTCGTCAGTGGTTTCACTGGGCCAGGCCCTGGAGATCCCAGTAGATGCCAAGGCCAGCAGCAGCACCAAGGCAGCTGGGCTGAAAATCCATGAGGAGCTGAAGGCTTAGGAGCCTGCAAGTTGTCCTGGTGCTGTATCAACCCTGTCCACTCCCAGCCTCCTGCAGGCAGGTGATGCCCAGGCAGTGCTGGAATTGCCGGAGGATCGGTGCCTGGTGAAAGCCCCTGCTCAGGGGCTGCAGCCCTCCACACTGTGTGTACCACCACCAACCAGAGCCTCTGAGTGTCCTCCCTCCCTGTCCAGCCGGGGCAACCCCTGCAGCGGTGCCCATGGGCAGATCCTGCTGTGGCTCCTGCCCTGCCCACTGCCCTGCCTGCATCTCTCTCACTGGAGATTCCTTCTCCCCTTTCCACTGTGCCATGTGCCTGGAGGGCAGCAGGGCAGGCAGCAGCACTCCGGGCTGGCTGGAGCGGGGCAGTGCAGGAATCCAAGGGCCCTGATGATGTTCTGGGTGTTTCCCTTGCCAGAGCCGCTGGTCTGACCACATGCCTTTCCCATTAGCGGCCGTGCCGGAGCCCGGAGCCCAGAGCTCGGGCACACACACGCCAGCCCAGCTGTGGCTTTGCAGCCCGGCTGCAGCCACCTCCTGGGCTCATCCCCTTGTCCTGCAGCACTGCTGCATCCGCCAGCCTGCAGTGCTGGGCACAGAGCTGCGTATCCTCTCTTGTGCCAGCCGGACCGTCAGCACCAGCATCCTTGGGCGACACCATTCTGGCCCCATTCCTGCCCCTCACGCCTCTGCCCACGTGCCTCTGCCCACCATAACACAGGGCGCACTGTCGCTGCCACCCCCGCGCACACTTTGCCCCTCCAAGAGCCGTGCCAGCCTCAGCGCCCTGCGTGGGCCAGGGCCAGGCGCTGTGGGGGGCAGGTCGTGTCCCTGAGGCACCGCGGGCCCACTGGGGACAGATGCGTTTGCGGAGCTGCCAGCGAGGGGAGGACACACGCGAGGCTGGCACCGGGCAAGCGGAGGTTGTGCTTGGCATTGCTCCCACACAGCCCAGCTCCTGGGAAGCAGCTGGACCCTGGGGAGGAGAGGAGTAAAGATCAAACCCTCTCTGGATCAGAAGTTCCCCCTCCCACTCCCAGCTTGGGCTGCAGCTCTTGTTCCCACTGTTCCTCTGACTGCTCCCGCTGTGGGCAGGGAACAGCAACCCCATCCCTCTGGGGGACACTGTGGCCACAGACCCAGGATCGGGGCAGAGGCTCATGCTGGGCTTCCCTGTCCCACAGGCATCGTCGAGATCCGGTCGGTGCGTGTCGGCGTCGTGGCCATCCGGGCAGTGCACACTGGCTTCTACCTGGCCATGAACAAGCGGGGGAGGCTCTACGGGTCGGTAGGTCGGACGCTGCCTCCTGGGAGGGACTGCACCGGGGTCAGAGGTGCAGGGCAGAGTTGCAACAGGGGGTCCTAGACCTGCTGGGACCGGTGCCCAGGAGCAGGGTTCTGGTTTCCTGTGCCCTGACGCGCTCCCCAGCAGGGACCGAGCCCCTCTGACCCCTGGGGACACGCAGGGTCCTGCCCTGCCCCACTTGGGGTCCAAGGGACCCCAGCCAAGCACAGCCACCCTTCACCCCCTTCCCTCTCCTGCCAGAAGGAGTTCAGCCCCAACTGCAAGTTCACAGAGCGCATCGAGGAGAACGGCTACAACACCTACGCGTCGCTGCGCTGGCAGCACTGCGGCCGCCCCATGTTCCTCTCTCTCAACAGCAAGGGCAGGCCACAGCGAGGGGGCAAGACACGACGGCAGCACCTCTCCACACACTTCCTCCCCATGCTTGTTGGCTGAGTGCCATGGGCAGCTCCGGACAGTCCTGTAGGAAAAAAAAACAAGAAAGGGTTCTTTTATTTATGTAGATATCTATTTTTTGCTATTTATTGCTTTATTTTTAATGCGTGGTGGAGGATGGATGCAAAAGGCAGGTGCTCCAGACTTGGCTTTGCAGGGCTGTGGCTCTCCTGCCATCCCGCTGGGGCAGAGCTGGCGTGGCACAGCTGGGGAGCGTGGCCACCGTGTGCCAAGGCTGAGGGTGTGCCTGGAGCAGGCCTGGGGTCTGCAGGGCTGGGATGTGCCAGCCAGTTGTCTGTGTCCGAGCACTCGAGGCAATTAAAGCTGTGTTCATGGTACGGAACGGGAGCGGGTCTTGGAGCTTTGATGGTGGACTTGGCTTGGGATGGGAGAGATTGGGTTCCCTGAGGTCGTGGCTGCAGCCCCCGGTGTCACCCCTGCTGCCACCAGCGGGGAGCGTGGCTGGTCCCCTGCCACATCGACCCCCACCCACCCCACAGGAAAACAGCAACGATGGTTCAGCAGCACAAAGGAGGGGGCAGGAGGAGCAGAACCAGGAGCCAGCCTGGATCCTCAGGCAGACACAGCCCCAGGGCTGTCCCTGGCTGCAGCCTGTGCCGGTCCTGCAGCCCAGCTCGGCACCATCATTCCCAGCCAATACGGAGCTGGGACAGTGGCCAGTGGCAAGGACCAGCCCCTCACCTGGAGGGGAGCACGGCCAGGAATAGAACCCACATGTTGGCCTCCTGGTCACAGTACATCCCTGAGCCACCCTCACACCCACCGTGGCCAGGCCCAGCAGCCGGGTCACTGTCACGTCACACAGCAATGGCCCCAGCAAAAACCACCAAACTCGTTCCATTTCCGACCCAACCAGCTCCAAATGAGTCTGAAAGGGAACAGTCACTGTGTTAACTGTGTGGTGACTCTGGCACTGGCCCCGAGCCCCTGCCAGGCAGGTGGCAACTGCCACACACCCACCTGGGGCTTTGCCTTTCTCACTCAAAACCCACCCAAGCACTGCTGACGTGTGAGAGATCACCCTGAGCAGCAGGGGAGCCAGCAACCCCCGCCGCAGCAGACATGGTGGGAGAGGGAAGGTTTTCCCAGGTCTCCTGTTTAGGTGATTAAACAGCAAAGCCTTCCCTTGGTGCTGGGCCAGCCGATGGACTCACGCAGGTTCAGCCAGGACCTTCTTGCTGCCACCCACCTCCCCAGACCAGGCTTCTGGCTCAACCCTTGGCAGAGGATGAGCCATTAACCATGACACACCAGTCCTGAGATAAACCCTCGTCCTCGTGAGATGAAAGGCGCCGCTGCGCCCCTGCCAAGCCAAGGAGGAAAAACAGTCCCAGCGAGTCGCTCTGTGCCAGCTCCTGGCCCCAGCAGAGCTGCTGCCACCCACCCTCGGGACACTGTCTCCAACAAACCACCTTCTTGTGTTCTGAAATGGCCCAAGAATGGCCAAATCAGCCACTGGCCTCCCCCCTCCTGCAGGAATCTTGTTCCTTCCCAGGAAGGTCTCGGGAGGAAGGCCAGGTCTGGGGCGAACCTGCTTTGGAAGAGACATCCAAGTTCTGCTGGCACCAGCACCTTCCCCAGCTGTCCCACCCCACTCCCAGAGCCCCAAGAGCCAGGGGAAGAAGCAGGGAGCCCACCAAACTGCCAAACTCTTGGCCCACCCCCACAGGGCACACTCCCCTTGCCCGCTCCAGCCTCTGCCACAGCACAATCCTGACATGCGGCTCCATCATGGATCCTGGCCCGTCAGGAGACCCACTGAGTGCCCCAAGTCCCTGCAAGGGGAAAGGGCTCCCGGTGACAGAGGGCAAGAGCACCAGGGCTCTGGTCCTCTCATGCCTCCAGGCCTGGGGAGCAGGGACACGGCAGGGAGTGACTGCCCACACTGGTCACATTCTTGTCATTCTCCAAGCTCCAGCTCTGTCACAGAAACTGAGTCACAAACATACCTGGGTATTTTTCTCTCTCTCCTTTTTTAATCAGCTCTATTTTAAGTAGTTTTGCAATACATTTTTCTCAAAAAAATGCTGTTTTCCTGGTAATTACTCAGTCACAATGAGATTTGCTGGTCCGCGCTCTGCCGCACACCCCGTCCTGGGTGGGCCCAGTGGAACAGCCCGACCCAGCTGCGAGGGGGGCAGGACTGCAACAGAGAGATGTAAAAAATAGAAAAGACCAGCTGAGGATGCTTCCAGATGCAATCCTTGGTCACCTGTGCAGTGCCCCGCAGGCTGGCAGCGGCTGCCCCAGAGCCCAGAACTCCCAGCAGGTGGGAGGGCTCAGAGAGGCCCAGCCTGCCCGAGGGAGGTGGGATGGCTCAGCAGCCTCGGAGCTTACCCTGTAGCTCTCCTCAAATCATGCATAACGGCTCGCAGAGCTGAAATGTCCATTTATTGACAGCAGTAATAATTTAAGATTATAAAAACCCTTTCAGTGTTGAGTATCAGCGGGCAAGGTTATAAAGAAAAATAAATGGGACTTGAGATGGGACAGGGATCCCGGGGTCTATTTGAGAGTTCCTGTTTCAGTGACAGCTATGGTCCTCCCCAGCCGAAGATCCTGGAGGGGAGGCAGCATCCTTACGCTTCCATTTTAGACTTCAATCTCCAAAGCAGAAAAGATAGTATCCAAGGGGAGGAGGAGCAAAAGAAATAAAAGAAGGGGATCTCAAATTCAAACCCATACAAACAACTTTTCCTTTTGGGATTCAACCACTCGCTCAGCACCTCGGGGTTCCCAGCTGGGAGCGCGGCAGCCTCGCACTGCAACGGGTAAAGTCCACGCACAGAGGATGTTTTTATTGACAGACAGAGCTCTTTCCCCCCTTTTTCATCACAGAACTTGAGGCTTCTCATCTCTGAAGGACCCAGAGTCTCCGTGTCTTCAGAAATCAAAAGGGAATTCTGGGGGCACTGCTCCCCCCTTGTCCCCTCCCCTCGCTCTGTTCTGGAAGCCCCTTTGGCTGCTTGTGGTGGCCAGGGAGGGAGGGGGGACAGTGGAGGGGGCCCCGGGGACAGAGGGTGCGTTAAGATTCATGAGTTGTTCGATGAGTTTTCATTACTTGGTGAGCTGGAGGAAGAGGAGGAGGAGGAGGATGACGAGAAGTTCATCCCTGTGAGTCCTGGGGGGTTTGTGGCAGTGTTTTGTCCACTTAAACTTTTCCGGCAGACGGGACACGTGTCATGCTTTGAGGAGCAGACAAAAACAAAACAAGAAATATGGAAAACAGGATTAGAAACACGATATGGGAGCAGCACTTGAGGAACAGGATGGGACAACACTCCATCCTCTGATCAAAGGCTGTTTGTGGTTCAAGTCTCACAACGGAGGTAGGAAAAGAGGGGAGCAGAGGTGCTGCATGCCCTGGGCACTGCCCTCACACTCACCTGCTCCAGCCATGGGACAACGCAGTCGTTGTGGAACAGGTGATTGCACGGTAACTGCCGCACGTTCTCCCCGACTGTGTAGTCTTCCTTACAAACAGGGCACTCCAACCCGGAATCTGCATCGCACAGGGAAAGCCAAGCACAGCTGACAATGGGGGAGAGAATGACAGACAAAGCCCCCAACTCAGGACCCATCACTCCCTCCCCTTTCCCAGCACTGCTCCAACCCTGCCGAGAGGAAAGCCTGGTGCTCTGCAGTCACTCGCCCATCACACCACCTCCCCCCACCCCGGTCTGCCTCATCCTTCCCCTCCCTTCTGCTTTTCCATCTGAACTTCTCACAAGTTTGCCTCCACAGGGCAAATCCATCCAGGCTACACTGATCTTTGTGTGAGTGTAACAGAGCCACTTCAGCTCTCTCCCCTCCTTGAAATGTTTTAGGCCTTGAAGGTACAAGCAGACAAAATTCAAGTCCCAAGAAAACATTACACAGAGCTTCCAGGGAGCTCTCTCTGCATGGCTGCCTGGAGCAGACACATACCTACGTGCTCCTGTGTGATCTGTATGGTGGGGAGGGCCTGGATCTTCTCTTTGTCCGCTGGTGGTGGTCCAGTGTTTTCAAACTGATTCAGTAACTGGGAAAACAACCAGCCAGGCAGGCAGAAGGGAGAGGTGAGCTCAGCAGTACACAGAATCCACTTGTTTCCTGAGCCAGTGCACTTGGGCCCCCATCGCACACACTGCAGACTCTGGTTCCTATTCCTGCCCCCACAGTCCCTCACCCCCTGCACCACCACAGGTGCTGCCCCTGGATGGAGACTGGTAAATCCCAGTCTTACCTGTGTGATAATCGCATCCAGGCCGTTGGCACCCCAGGCGTAGTCCATCGGATTTGAGTGCAGGACTCCCCTGAAGAGCAAGGACAGCAAGTGAGTTCATCCAGGAGCACCACCAAGACACTGCCAGAGAGAGCAGCACATCTTCCAACTCACCAAGGGCCCAGGCCTAGGTTTGGAATTGTGGTTGGTGCAATAATTCCATTGACCAGCTGCTGAATAATTCTGAAAGACAGGAAAACCAGGATTGTGTAAGAATTAGTCTGCTGGCTCCCTGCCCAGCACCCCGACGTGGAGGGAGAGGCTGAATGCTGTCACATTGTCAGGGGAAAGAAAAGATTCCCTGTAGCAATTGCAGCTTATGGAGTGATAGGCCGTGGATAAAGTTTCAGTATTTGATTCATAAGGGGACAATTCCTGACACGATAGGCTCCCAGAATGCAGTTACACAAACAGTGTCTGGTGCTTTCTGCTGTTTCCCCTCATAGCGAGTACAACATTTTGGAAACAACCAGGGAATATTTTCCCACTGCAGGACAAAGTCCCAGCCACAGGTCGTGTCAGTGCTCAGGTGAAAGAGCCCCAAGAGACCCCAGGCAGGAGCTGCCAACAGCATCAGGCCCAGCTGGGACACAGTTGGCACCCACGGCAGTGCTGGAGAGCTTTGGGATGCTGCTCCCCAACCCAGGGGGAAAGGTACAGGCTGATGTTGAGCCCGGTCTCATCAGACCCGCAGGGCTCGCTCCCCAGGCCCTGGAGCCATTCTCACCCTTCCAGCGTGGGGACGCCCTCGTGCCGGCCCGAGGCGCGGCGCGTGGCCAGGCGGGCGCGGGGCTGCCTGGCGCCGTAGCGGTGCCGGGACTGGTGCTCGCGCTCCCGCCGGTTCTCCGAGTCCCGGTTGTCCTCCGGCTGCACGTTGGACCCGAACGGAAACTCAAAGCTGTCATCAAAGAACCCGAAAGCGAACTGGCCATAGCCCTGGGGCAAGGTGAACAAGTGCTGATCCACGTTCTGAGAGGGAGGGAATGCAGAGAACAGATTGTGACAAGAGAAACAGCCCTCGGCTCCCACAGCAACCCCCGGGCCTGTGGTGACACTGGGACTAGCGTGCCCTCGGTAGCAGCTCAGCGAGGAACAGACATGGGAACTGCACACAAAGGCAGAAAAAAACCAAATCACAGTTCCCTGGTTTCCCTTTGGTGTGTCACTGCTGCTTCTGAGCTGAGGCTACTGCATAGCAACACACCCAAATCCTGCTGAGCCCCCTCACGACAGGAATCAGCTACAAGTGATGGTCCTACGTAACACACGCAGCAAAAATACGGCATGCAGAGATTCCAGGAGCAGCATGTGGAGGATATATATTGCTCCTTTCCAAATTCTGCAATGATCTGGGGAACATTTAAACAATGTACTATTGGAAAGATACTCAATCCAATGGCAAAGCAGAAGGTGTTGAAAGGGAGAAAGGACTTACCTCAAAAGGATGCCTGCTCTGATCAGCAGCTGACGTAGAGGAGCTGGTCTCATTGTCAGCATTCCTATGGGGAATGAAGAACGCCGGTAAGACTCAGAAGCTGCTATAGGAAGATTTGCTGTCTCCCTTCCCTTTAAGGTCTGCTCCCCTCCCCTCCACCCCAGGGCAGGGGCAGCTCCAGACAGAACCCGGTCCTCTTTTGGCTGCTAATTTTCTGGTTGCCCACATCAATTTTCATTTCTTCCTCCCTGAACCCTTCATTTTCCCACATCGTCACCCATCTCTCCCTACCCTAGGTTTTGATTTCACCAAGCTGCGGAGAAGTGCCTGAACCACAATACCAAGTAAGGATTCCCTGCACAACCTACCTCAAACACATCACAGAAGCCTCCAGAGCATCAGGAAGACTTTTGATCGCCATGACTCCAACACACGTAAGTCTAATCTTGAATCAAAGAAACCTCTCTATTGCAGAGGCATGTGACCCAATGGCTCAGGATATTGGGAAAATTCCTAATGCTGTCAGGCTTCTGCTTTCAGAGCTGCAGAAACATTGCCTGCTCAGTACCCCACTCTACGTGTCTGCATTCACAGTAGTGAAACCACTGAGATTCAGCGACCACGCGGCTCTCCAAGGTCACAGGAAATCACCAAAACAGTCACGATCAGCCAGGATGGATTTTTAGGCTTCATGGTTGGTGTGGTCTGACCAAACATCACCTGGTCTGTGCAGAAGCCCCAGGCCATGCACACCACCATGCTCAGCAGGCAGCAACACCCACTGCCCCCTGGCCCATCCCAGAGCCTGTCACAGCCCACAAATGTGACTGAAACATTTAAAGACATTCCTGGTGCTCCTGCCTGCCAGTAAGCTGTCCCACCAGTGGCAGTAGGGCAGCACAGGAACGTGCATTTTGTTGCTCCAGGGCAGAGTCCAAAGTCTCAGCCACAACACTTCACTGTTTGTCCCCAGTGCAGTCACTACTCCCACACTGAGGTGTCCGTGCACTCTCCATTCCCAGATTTCTCTCTGGGGTTATTTCTGCCCTGATGACTCAGACCAGGTCAGAGCTGCCATGCACCATAGGGAAAGCCTCCCTACCACTTCTTCATGTTTGTTTGAAATCACCCCATTCCTGCAGTGCCCTTCACCAGCGACACTGGATGCTCAGGACACTCGCATTCCCATGGCAGATTGACCTGTGGGTGCAAACCTGCCAGTGATGCACTACGACCCCACAGTGAGGAAAGATGAGCCAAAGCTCGGGCAGAAGCAATAGAAACGGTGTGTTTGATCCCCAACTTTGCCTTTGAACTAGTAAGAGAGCAAAGCAGCCCTGGCTCACTCAAGCACCAGTCCGTGGGGCAGCACATTACCTCGGCTCCTCGGGAAGCTCTTCAATAAAACCAGACTCACACCGTGGGCAGATGTAGTCCTGTGGGAGAGGAGACACTGGATAAGAGAAGGAAGTGGTACCTCAGAGCTGTGCGTCAGGAACCTCAGGGTGTGACAGGAGGGGCCTGGTCATCCCCAGCACACGCCGTGGTTCCAGAGCCAGAGAGACCTCAAACCCTGACACTGGCTTTCCCCAGGCCAGCAGGGCCAGAGTTTGGCCAAAGCCTGCAGGAGCTCGGCTTGAGAATGATCAGGGCAATGCTGCTAATCCCCAGCACAGACACAGCATTAGACACAACTGATGCAGTTCTGATGAAGTGAAAGCAAAACCCCCATTGCTCCCTGCACAGCAGCTCTCAAACGCTGGCTCTGGGGACCAGGAAGCGAGGCGGGAACGGCAGCAGGGGCTTGGCAGTGTCACGGTGCTCAGGGAGGCTGACCCCGCTCACTAACACAGCCTGGGGTTCACAGCACGAGGGGCACGGGGACACACCAGGCCATTCTGCAGCCAGGACTTCACACTGGTACGACCAGGACTCACCACAGACCTGCTGCCACCCCAGTGCCCCGGGCACTGACAATGGAGCGTGTGGGGAAAGACAGGCTGTGTGTGCAGAGCCTGTGATACCTATTCCCTCACAATCCCCACAACCACACTGTCCTGAGCAGAGCAGCCCAGAACACTGGAGATCCTGAAAAGGAATTGCTTTACTTTCCAGTGCTCGAGGAACAGAAGCACCACAGAGCTGACTGCGTGCCCAGCCACGCAGCGGGCACACACCACCCCAAATCCCTGTGCTGGCAGAGCTAGGCTCAGCTCAGAAGGCATTTAAGAGCTTCTAAAAATAATACCACTTCCCTTTGCTGCTGCTGCTGCGCTGGAATTGGCACAGCCCTTCGCCAGGCCAAGGGATTCCCCCAAGGAGTCAAGGCCACCAGCCCCGGGGACTGCCCTGATACAGCCCCTGGGGTCGCTTCCCCAGCCCCGGCATCTGACCTTGTGTGGAGCACAGCCCGGAGCCACAGCACCTGCCCTGCCTGCCAGGGAGATACAGGAGCTCCAGGGACAGACTGGGACACATCCCTGCTCCCTCTGCCACACAAGACTCCCTGTCTGCTGCTGTGAAACAACCAGCTCTGCCCCACTCACACCAGGCGTGAGCTCAGGAACGTCCATACCCCTCGGTGCCCAGCACAGGGAGCTGCAGCAGTTGCCTCTGCCCAGGAACACCCCTTTGCTGCCCACCACCACAGACTGGCACAGGGGGAATGGCCCCGGCCTGAGCACCCTGCTCCTCTCAGCTCCCTGCTCCAGGGAGCTGGGGGGGGGGTGTGTGTGCTCGCAGCCAGCTCCAAGCACAGGGATCAGCACATTCCTCTGCAGCTGGAACAGCACAAATGTCAAAGTTTGTTGTTTCTCAGCTGTTTGAGTCCCTCCTTTGGCAGTTCCTGTCAGTGAGCGAAACCGAGTGAACTTGGACCCCCAAAACAAGTTCATGAACTCAGTTACGCAGCCCTGAGGCCCCAAAGGCAGCACTTGCTCCCTGCCCAGCCCAGCACACACAGCCAGGTGTGCTCAGCTCAGCCCAGCCCAGCACGGGGTGTTGGAGCAGAAACAAATGATGGATATTGCAGGTTATCCCCTGGCTCTCCCCCAGCCTGTCTGTCCTCAGCACGAGCACAGCCAGGCGTTTGTTCCCACACTCACACACGAGCTGGGAGCCTCCAGCAGGGCCCACCCTGGCAAAAGGACAAACTGCACGTCACAAACCGACCGCCCCCCGCAGGGACAGCTCTGCTCGCCCGTGGGGACTTCTCAAGCGCAGTGTCAGCAACCAGCAAAGGCTTGTTCAGACAAGACGCTGTGAAAAGTGTCAGGACAAAGAGACCGGCAAGACCCTCGGAACCGCACGGAACACCTCAGCACACCGGGGGGGGAGCAGGTGACCCACCAGCTCCTCCCCGACAGCCCACGCTCCTCGGCCACCCACCCCGGGACAGGCTTCGCACACGCCGGGTTTTGCTGGGTGATGAAAGCACCTGCCCAGATGCCTACACAGCACTTCTGCCCACGTATCACCCGCGCACCTCCCTGTGTCCCGGCCACACCACCGCGGGGCTTTTCTCGCGCTCACTGAACGCTGCTGAGAGACGGAGAAGAAACCCCGCGGCGCTCCCCTCGGCTCCGGATGGGGTAAGGCTGCCCGGGCCGGGGGTGTCACCCCTGGACAGACCCCCACCCCAGATCCGCTTGGTGGCGGGGCCCGGCGGTTCCCGTGGGGCGGTCGGAGCGCTGGAACGGCCGCGGGACCGCCCCGCCCAGGCCCCCCCGTCCGGGCCAAGGGCCCCTCCCGCCGCACCGCCCCCGCCCGGCTGCTGCCCCTCGGCCAGGGCGGCCCGCTACCCCCGTTCCCTCGCCCCAGACCCCCCCAGCTCCTCCCAACGCTCCCGAGCCCCGGTGCCACGGGCGGAGCCCCCCAGGCCCCCCTTCCGCCCTCCCCGGTCCCGCCGCCCCTCAGGCCCCCCGGGCCCCTGAGGCCTCCCTCCCACGTGCCCGCCCCGCCGGGGCCACCGGCCGGCCCTGCCCGCGCCCGCCTCGCCCCCCAGTCCCCCCGGCGGCCGCGGCGCTCACGGGCAGGCGCGGGGCGATCTCGGCCGAGCAGCAGTGGCAGAAGAACCGGCCCGGCTGCGGCGACGCCTCCGCCATCTTCCCTGCCCGCCCGGCCCCGCCCCTGCACGCGCCGCGCCGCCGACGGCGGCCGAGGGCAGACACGGGACCGCGCGCTGCACAAACGCGGAAGGAGGGGCGGGGCTGATGGGCGGGGTTGGAGGGAGGCTCCGCCCCCCGAGCGCGGGACGGGACCCCCGAGGACGGGGACCCCCCGATCCCAGTCCCTCTCTTAGCCCCAGGGCAGTGGCCCCACTGGACCCCCGGGCTTTAAAATATCAGCTCCTAAGCTCACTGACATATTTAGTTAGTTATTTTCTCTTTAAGGAGAAGAAAAAAAGAGCAGGGGAGAGGTTGAGCCCCCTCCCCGTGAGAGGAAAAAGGGGGGTATTCCCAGTGAGTATCCCAACATTTGCTTAAGATTGCAGTAGCCAGAAAGGAACGCGGATGCTCCGTTTTGGCAGAAACCTCTCAAGTAGGGTATTTGCCTCAGACCTCACCCCTTGGATGCTCGCAGGTGCTGGGGAGGTTTTGGGGGGCAAGAGGTGGAATCTCTAATTTTAGGGGCTAGGAATCCCTCCTGGGGCTCAGTTCAAGGCCAGGGTGTTCCCCAGGCTGCAGGTTTTGAGAGAGCAGGTGGTCTGCCTGGCCCTCACTGGGGTCCCAAGCCCCACGGGCTGTTGCTGTGGCACCGCTGAGCCAGGGGTTTGGGGTGGTGTGGCTGAGGGGGGCGTGGGGGTATCCACACATCGTGGCTGTGGGCTTTGGGGTGGTGAGGCTGCGGGGGGTTTGGGAGTAGCAGAGCAGTGGGGCTTGGGAGTGGCAGAGCTGTGGGGTTTAGGGGTTCTGCATGGTGGGGCTGGGGGGTCCTGGGGTTCGAGTCCGTGGCACTAGCCCCGCTCCCAGCAGGTGGCATCTTCAGCCCAGGATTTGCTGCTCCAGCTTTGTCGGGTGATGGAGCTGGGGAGGCATTTGTGGAGCAGCTCAGGAAAGCTCGGCAGGTCTCCTCTCCTTCTGCCGCAGGGGGACGGGGACAGGGTGAGACGTCCTAAACTGGGCGCTGGTGGGACAGGGCTGGGACAGGGCTGGGTCACCGGTCAGCGACTGGGAGAGCTCGGTGATGGGGTGGGAATTGCAGCCGTGGCACAGATTGGCAGCGCTCAGCGGCTGATCAATGATCCCGGGCACTGATAAGGCACCTTGGCATTTATTTACAACCGACGAGGAAACGGCTGCTCCCGTAACCCTTTTATTTGGGAGGTGGGTCCAGACAGTGCGTCGTGGCCCAGCCAGGAGCCAGACAGAGCCCGGAGCCTCCACAAGCCCGCGGCCCGGATGGGGCATTTCGTGCCCCGAGGGAAGCTCCTCACCCGTGTTTCTCTGTGCCCTGTTTCGAGGTGTGAGGACAAGTTGCCACTTGATCAAATGGGTGCCGGTTGCCTGTGGGATGGGGAGGGAAGGATCCGGCTCCACTGACTTTGTCCCTCTGGAATTCCCTGACGCAGGAACTGTGGAAACTGAACGTGGCAACACTCGTTGGGATGCAAATGGCAGCGGATGCGAATGCACATGGAGATAAGGGCAGCAGAGCGGCTGCAGCCCCAGTGCCTCATGCACACAGCAGTGGGAACGGCCTCCCAGAGCCCCCTGAGCCCCCTGAGTGTTGGGGAGTGCAGCCCCTGGGCACAGGCAAAGCCCCCTGCCCATCTCTCCCCATTGGTGCTAAACTCCCCTCTCTGGGGGTTGAGGCCCTGATTTTAGCCCTGGCCACAGTTCCCCCCAAAGGGGGGCACGAGGGTCCCCGGGCAGGTGCAGCCCATCTCTGTCACTGCTCAGGCACCCCAGGATCGGGGGTTCTGGGCTCAGCTGTCCCCTGCCTCTGAGCAAGCCACCTCTGGTCGGGAACAAATTTGAGTCACCCAGGGAAGGATTTTCCCACGGTGCTGCAGAAAGGCAAACTGCACCCTCACCCAGGAGAGCTGACGAGGAGGTGACACCTCCCCGCTCAGTACCGAGTCATCCTTACACAGAGCCCGCTCCCAAACGGGACGCCCTGCTTGGGTGAGAGAGGGAGCTTGGCCAAGGGCAGTGGAAAATATCCCAGGGCTCCCGCTGTCTGAGGGGACAGGACAGGGTGGGAGACTCCTCTGGCAGCTTGGAGTCACGATGGACAGGGGTCCCAGGGGTTGGTCCTGGCCTCTGGACCCTGCACTTCTAAACAAAGCAGTGGCTGGAGCTGAAGCCCCTGTGCTGCCTGGCTGTTGGACCTTTGGGGTGCAGCTCCAGGCACAGCCTTGTCCCGGGCTCTGCCTTGAGCCCTGGGAATCACAAGCACCTCCTGGAGCCAGAGCTGCTTCCAGCACAGTTCCTGCCAAGTGAGAATAACTGGTGCAGCTGGTCTCCCTGCTCCCCTCCACCCAACATCATATATAATTGCCTATTTTAATTAATAAATTGGAGGCCACTCAAAGGAAAGCGGTGAGATTCCTTACAGACACTGTAGGGATTGTCTGCCCGCCCCGAGCCAGTCGTGTCACGGTGGATTTGAATCGGTCTCCTTTGAATTTCTTCAGACAGATCGTGAGATTTACATCCCCCACCTCATCTCCTGGAGCCTCGCACCTTCAGGCTGCAGGTCTGGATCCCACCTGGGATCCAGCAGCAGCACAGGCCAAGCCCCAACCTCACTGCCTCAGGCTCTGAGTGCTGAGGGGCACTGGCAGTGGGTGGCCCCCAGCCCTGCAAGGCTCTGATCCCTGGATTCGGGATGTCCCCAGCAGCAGGGCTGGTGGCATCTTGCTGGTCCTGCTCTGGCCCCCCTGTGCCATCCCAGTGGCCCACCTGACTCTGGGAGCAGCCAGGGCACAGGGGCTCAGGGGAAGTTCACAGTCCCTGGGGGCTGCTTTTGGCCTCCACCAAAAGTTTCCCTTTTTTTTTTTTTTTTTTTTTTGGATTCTTTGCTTTTTTATGCTTGATTTAAACCATTGTTCTTCAAGAGAAATTTTAATGCGAAAAACATGTTTTTCTACCAATTGCCAGTCTGGCCAAGCAATCAGGCTCCCTGTCTGACAGGAGCTGTGTGGCAGATGGGGGCTTCAGGCAGGACATGACCTACAGTGGCTCTGCCCTTCAATGGCCCAAGGGACTGGGAACCTGCAGGACCACCAGGCTGGCGGGACCAGGGTGCCACAGCCTTATCATAGTGCCCACGGGGTCCATGTCCTCCACCTGGTTGGAATGGGAGGAGGGCAGCCAGCAGCCTCGCTGTCCTGTCCCAATAACCAGCACCTTGTTCTGGGAACAAAGATCAGTGGAGCAACCGCTGCCCTTCCCAGTGCAGCTCTGCCTCCTCCGTCAGTGCCTCTCCCCAGCCTCACTGAGGAGCCAAAGGACTTCAGTGACCTGGGAGGTTTTCCCGATTGCCGGCTCTGCTGGACCCAGTTCAGCCCCACATGGTTTCCTGTTCCACAGTGCTGTCAGCTCTCCCCTCCAGGCTCGCTTTGCTCCTGCCCTGCACCGTGGCGGAGGCAGAGCTTGTGCTGGGAGCCCACGCGGCTGCCGGTGCTGACTCACAGCTTGTTTACACACACACACACACACACACACACACACACACACACACACCTGTGTCACGCGTGGCCGAGCCCGCCCGACTGACCCGCCGGGCCCGGCCGTGTGGGCAACGGGATCGTTCCACAGGGAGCTCACTGAGGCGTCTGTAAATCCATGTGCACAGACAGGAGAAGTAAAACCAGAGCCAGCTGGGGGCCATGACCACGAGATGTCTACTCCTTATCGAGAGGGGCACATGTCGTCAGAGTGGATGGGACAGGACATCCTTGCTGGCTCTGGCCGCTGCTTTCCTGCATCCCAGCCTTCCCAGTCCCCTCTCCATGTTGCTTGCACCTCCTGAATCCAAGCACCAGCATTTCTCCAGCACAGACAGAGCCCAGAGCATCTTCCACCAGTGTGGGGCAGAGATGGGGACACTGAGATGAAAGAGTGAGAGAGAAGAGGCCTTGGAGGAGCGTAGCTCTTGCCAGGGGCACCCAAAGCTCTGAAGAGGGGGAAGACATTGCTGAGGAGGGGAAAGGGAGTGAATCCCCCCAGGGTGATGTTTCCTGGGGTGCTGGGGTCTGCAGGGCACTGGTGGTGCTGATACCAGCAGCAGGGAGGCACTCTGGGTCTGGGCATCAGCAGGAAGGATCAGAGTTCGATCAGGAATCAAACAGAATGGGTGATCAGATTTGGAGGGGCAAGTCTTGGGAAGGTATGTCAGCCTCCTGGCCCTCCCTGCATGCCGGCGCTCCCGCCCTGCCCTCCTTCATCCGCAGAAGTGGAAGTGTCCCAGGAACATGAAACGATTACTTGGCGAGGAGAATCCAGCTCAGCACTTCTTGGCATTTGTTCACAGCTTTCATCTTCAAAGCTCCTTGCAAACATTAGCAAACTAATCCCTGCAACCTTCCTGGGAGATAGCGCAGGATCAAGCAGAGGAGCATTATCTCGTCTCAGCAGATGGGGAAACTGAGGCACACAGCGGTGACGCTGTCGCCCCAGGGCGGAGGGCGAAGCTCCGTGTCAGCGCTGGGGGTGGAGTGTGGCCATCGGGGTGCAGCTCACGCTGCTCCAACACTCTCTCCCCAATTCCAGTGACGTGGCCAAGAGCCACAAGCACCAACCCAATTCACGGGGCTGGAGCTGTGAGGACACGGTGGAGAAAATCCTGCCTGAGGGTCAGGGCTGCCTGCAGCAGCCCCGGGGCTGTGCCCTCAGTTCATGCCCTGCAGCAGTCACTCAGCACAGTCTCCAGCTCTGAGGGATGTGGCTGAGGCTCAGTCCCATCGCCTCTCCTGGGTGCACACTGAGCCCCAGCACGGGCCCTGCTGTGCCAAGCCCGGCTCCCACCCCCAGGGCTTCCTGGGGTCTCATGGCCCAATGGATACACCTGAGCCAGGGCTGAGGAGCCCTTACCCACAGCCCCTCTCCCCTCTGCTGTGTTTGGCAGCACCTCCTCCTGCATGGGAGAAACTCGGGCATCCCCCTGCGGAGAGGAGTGGGGCCAGGCCCACCTCGCTCTGCCATGGCAACATCCACCTGCCCACGGATCTGTGCTGGCAGTCTGAAACCTCTGCCCTGACCCTGGGCTCTGGGAGAAACACTTCTCAATTGAATGTCTTGTTGCAAATTGCAGCTCTAATTGGTTTAGCAGAGTTTAATTAGCCTGAACTGATGAAAGAGGCGAGATTCCCTCCTTAAAGGAGCCCAGCAGCAGGATGCACCAGCCAGGGTTTGGGAGGAGAACGACTGCATCTGAATCTCATCCCAAAATCCTGCTGCAGCACTGACCCAGCATGGCACCAGTGCCCAGATGAAAGGTCAGATGTGAGGCTGCCATTCACTGTGCCGCAAAGGGCTCCTTTGTGCCTGCTCCAGCGCCTCCCGCCGCCCCCAGCCCCGGCTCCTTTGACTTCCTTCGGCTGCTGCAGGGCTGCTTTCCCGCAGATCCCAGGCCGGCTCCTCATTCCCCTCCCTCCACGGGTGTTACTGGGTCTCAGTCATGTCCCAGGCCATCCGTGGGGTGCAGGGAGGCAGAATCACCCTGTGTGCAAGATTGGTTGGTGGAACTTTGCTCCCAGCTTTGCTTGAGAACCAGCTTTGACCACCACCTGCGGCATCACTGCAGGCACGTCACTTTGGCTGCAACCAGGACAAGGGCAAGCGGAACCCCCAGCATGGTTTTCCTGGGAGCAGGGCAACCTTAGCAGGGCTCTCAGCCCCCTTTAGCTCAGGGATCCAATTACTTCCCAGCCTCCAGGCTCCTCCTGCCTTACATCAGGAGCCTGGCTGCTCCTTGACAGAGGCAACAAACGCATGCTGCTCCAAGCGAGGTCCGACCCTTTCCCTGCCAGAGCCGGCGGTTGTGCAACCCCACTCCGAGCCAGGGAAAATCCCTTCCTGGCCTCTGCAAGCTCCTCTCTATCCTCGAGCATGTGAGTGAGTGCATCACCACCCGCTCGCTCATGGACATCCCGCTTGGAGGTTTGGCTTCCCAGCCCTCTGCCCTTACATGGGCAATCACTCCGAGATGGCTGAGGGAGCCGGGTCATGCCAGCCGGGCCAGGGCCGGGAGCAGCGCCGGGGCCAGGGCCAGTAACACACCAGGAGCCTGTGCAGGCAGGGGCTGCCAGCTCTGTCCTTCCCCCAGGACCCTCTGCTGTCCTGTGTGTGGAGCTCCTGGCCCCACCAGGAACGCCGGTGGGGAGGCGCCTGCAGGGCTCCTGCAGCTGCAGATGGCACTGATGTCACCTGGGGTAAACCCATCCCTCCCCATTCCTGACCCCTCCCTGGGGGTGCAAGGGACTGTATGGGGAAAAGGGGGGGAAGATCTGCCACGGTGAGAGACAGCTCGCTGGTCAGAAGGACAAAGAGAGGGATGGAGACTGTGATGGTGCCAGCGGACATACTGCTCTGCCTGTGCTGGCAACTGGCATTGCACCCGCTACCCCCGCTGTGGGACCCGGGCTGCTCCATGTCCCACCAGACCAAAGCTGTGTCCAGCCACATCCTGAGCCAAAGCAAGCTGCTTGTGCTGTGCTGGCACCACTCAGAGCCAGGAGGCTGCTGCTGGGCCAGAGGGGTGGTGCAGGGTCCCTGGGGCCCTGTGGTCGGGGCCCCTCTCCGAAAGAGCCCAGCTCAGCCCTGCTGAAAACATGACCTCAGCTGAGGCCAGTGCACGGGGTGAAACGTTCCTCAGCTGTGTGACCGCGAGCTGGACACGGCGCTCAGGACTGAGAGGGCCCCGGCCTGGGGCAGAGAGCTGTGTGTCCCCGGGACTCTACCTGGGGAGCTGCGTGACAGCTGTGGGCCCTGCTGCACCCTGACCCCCCTTCAGACAGGTGGGCAATCTCTTTGTGGTGGCACTGAGCAAGAAGCAAGGCCAGGCAATGCCAGAGACCCCAACCTGCCTTGTCCTGGGCTCCCCACTGTGCTCCCCAGTCCTGTCAGGAGCTCCACAAAGCCCAGGAGCCCCTGAAAGTCTGGCAGTATTGGTCCCATCCCAGTTGCCCAGCACAAACCAGGCCACGCAGGGTCCAGCATGTGTTTACGAGCCAGAAGAAGCAGCTCTAGTGGTAGTGGGGACAGCTGGGGAGAATGGGGGTAGCACGTGTCATGGGAGTATGACCCCGCCGGTCTTCTCCTTCCCCTCCTTGCCTGGCAGGGCTCAAGTTGGTGCCTCAGTTTCCTTTTGGTTCGTTGGAGGTGATGCTGGGTGCCAGCCGAGCTGCAGGGGTGTTTGGGTAGCAGAGAATAAAGGAGCCACATGAGACAGCCCTCACCGTGCCCCCGCTGCCAGCCGGGCTGCTCCGCGAGGAGGAGGAGGGCAGGACGAGGCGGACGCGGGTTCATGCGAGGATGGGTGTGGAAGGCGCAGCCGTGCGGGTGGCACAGGGTCGGGTAGGGAAGTGTTCTGGGGTTCCCCACACCTCGGGGTCTGCCCGGACACTGCTCTGCTTCGCTGCACACCGAGCACGGGGGCACCCCCAAACCCTCCCCGTCCCATCTCAGTCCCTGGCTGCGGGTCCGTGCCCGCTCCGGGGGAAGCACGGACCCCCCCACTGCCCACTCGGTGACGATCAGACCCTCACTGCCACCCCCACGCCCCCGCAGTCACCCCCCTCGCTGCCCCCCGACTCCAGCGCCGCTGCCCCCGCCCCGGCCCCCCCGCGCCGCCCCGCCCGGTGATTCACGCCTCCCCGCCGCTTTATAGCTCCGTCGGCCTCGCCGCCGCCTCACAGCAACAGGTCACCGGAGCGCCCCGGCCCGTCCCGGCCCGTCCCCGCCCGGCCCGGCCATGCCGCTGCGGCTGGCGCTCTGCCTGCTGGCGCTCTGCAGCCCCGCCGCCGCGCACGGTAAGAGCCGCGGGGTCCCGCTTCCAGCGGGGGTCCCGGCGCAGCCCGCCCTCCCCGTAGCGCCGCTCCCCGCCAGCAGGTGCTCAGGACGGGGGTGGCCCGGCCCGGGGTCGCGGTGCCGTTATATCGGGCGACTCCCCCGGGCACCTCTGTCCCGTCCCGCCGGGCAGATGCCGAGCTCTCGGCGGCACAAACCCGCTTTAACGGGCGGAGCGGCGGCTGCCCGGTGCCCGGCGGTGCCACTCGGGCGTCCCGGTCCCTGCCGTCCCTCCATCGGGCGGGTCGCGGGATTACACGAAGGGAGCGAGAGCCCGGGGTCCCGCCCGGCCCCGCTGCCGCGTCCCGCATCTCGGCGGTGCCGCTGCCCGGGATCGGCATCCCGCACCCCATGTGCCCCGGGAGTCCCCGTTCCCGGAGGCGGCAGAGCCGGCTCGGGGCTGCGTAGCCCCGGTGGGACGGGCCAGGAGTGGGGCCGGTCCGTGACCGGGGTGTGGAGTTCGCAGCTCGGAGCCTCCCGGTTCCGCTGCCGGTGCTAGCGGCTTTCGCCGTGCTTGGGCGGTGTCGGGGCTGTGGGGGAGGACGTCCCGAGACCCCGAGTCGGGGCTCCATCAGCCCTTCCCAGAGCCGCGGAGCCGTGTGGTGCTGCTGGTGTCTCCTCTCCCGTATCGGAGCGGGAGTTTCCATCATCCCTTCGCACGATACCGAGCGTTCCGTGGGGAGTGGGGGCCGCGCGGTGTTGTAACGGGAAACTGGGCTTGGAAGAGCAATTGAACAAATCAGTGTAGGATAAACCCCCCGATGGCAGCCGCGTGCTGGCGCTGCTGGTGCTGCCCCAGGTGTCCAGGCACTGGTTTCCGCAGCCGGAGGATTTGCTCCATCCACGGCTGCCCCGCGGATACAGCTGGGCTGGGAGACCCATGTGCTTGTGACTGAATCAAAATCGTATGCGAGGGACGAGAAAAGGGGGGTAGAGGGTCTAGGGCGGGCTCCACTTTGGGGCAGGGTGAATCCTTGCCCTGGAGGGGAGCGGCTCCCCCCTGGCAGTGCAGGACACGTCCCTGCCCCCATCTCTCCCTCCCTCCCATCTTTTGCCGTTTAACAAACCTCAAGCGCAGCTAATGAGAGCACGAACCCAAATAAGCGTCACAAGAGGCTGGTTTGCAGAGGCGGAAATTGCAAAGAAACCACTCACAAAAAAAAAAGAAAAAAAAAAGAAAAAAAGAAATCTAACTGATTCGCTGGTGGGTCATGGAACAAACAGGCTTTTGAGTCAGAGCGATCTGGTGCCGCGGGGCTGGCCCAGACCCAAGGGCTGGGGCAAGTGCCCCACGCTCCAGCCACTGGCTCAGATGCTCCTTGCAGAGGCCGTGTGTGTGTCAGGTCCCCGTGCTGGGGAACGGTTCCATTCCTCCATGGGGCCACTGGCACACACCGGGGGATCCAGAGCATGATTGCCCACTGGCCCTGCTCTGCCTGACCACCCCCATGCTGGGGTCTCCTCTCTCTGGGGCCGGCCAGGAGCTGGGCAGAGATGGAGACAGGGAGGGCAGGGAATAGGTAAACTGCAAGCCCAAGTAAAATGCCCTGGCCTGCTGGCTGGGCATCTCCCAGCGCATCGCTGGGTGTGCCGGCATCCCTGTGGTCCCTGTGCTGGTTTTGGACCTGTTGGAGAAAGAGGGCTGGCAGCAGCCCCAGGCGTGGACACGGAGCTGCCGTGCCAGGGACCCTTAGGGTTACCTGCTCTGGGACAGCTCTCGTGCCACAGGAGTGATGGGAGCTGGAACAGAGTGTCTCTGGGTTCCCCAGCTCATCCCAGGCACCGGAGCAATCTCTGTGCCTCTTGCCCAAGGTGGTCCAGCCACAGCTGGCATCTTGCTGCCCTTTGTGGGAGTCTCAGCACAGGAAGGATTCCTTACCCTCTGCCCTCTCCACAGGTGGTATCTGCTGGTTGCAGCAGGGGAAAGAGGCCAAGTGCACCATGATCCTGAAGACAGGTGTGACATGGGAGGAATGCTGTGCCAATGGCAATGTGGACGTGGCCTGGTCTAACTACACCTACCCAGGCAACAAGATCAGCCTGCTGGGCTTCCTGGGGCTGGTGACATGCCACCCCTGCAAAGGTGAGTGGGCTGGGGAGTGAGGGGATGCTGTGGGGCTGAGCTCCACCCATGGGGAATGCTCAGAGGCTGCAGCTCCAGGTGAGGCAGCAATGATGGGGCTCACCAGACAGGGCTCTTCTGGGCAGTCTGGGACAGCACAGGGACCTCAGGGACTGCTGACCCCATGCTCCTGCTGCTGCAGCTCCTGGACAGATGCTGCTGTGGGTCAGAGCTGGCGGGACAGCCTGCATCCCCTGGCTGCTCTCATTTTGTGTGTATTTTAGTTCTCTCCCAGTGGAGTAGGACGCGTGACCCGGGTCTTGGCCGGGCAGCCAAGTGCAGGGAGCGGAGCTGGGCCTGCCTGTTCCCAAGTTAACCTCGCTGTGCTGGGGCCTCCTGCCCCTGCCCTCACCACGGCTGCTCAGGGGGAAACTTTGTCAGGTTTTTCTAGGGAAAAAAGATCTATTTCTTCCCCTCTGCTCCCCCTCGCTCCTCCCAGCATGTGTGTGAAATGGCTTTATGTAACGGGCAGTTCCAGAAGTGGAAACTCTCCAGCTGTGAGTTCCAGCCCCACCAGATGTTTTGGTGTGTGCCAGAGGCGCGGATCCCCCAGCACTTTCGAGGCTGTGTGAGAACACGCTCTAGGACCTGCTGCCTGCAGGAGACAGGAGCAGGGATTTGGAGGGTCATGTTGTTATTTGCTTAAAGGGGGAAAAGGTTCTTAACAAAACCACTTCCTCTGGTTCCCTGCACTCCTCGGACCCATCCTGGTGCAGCTTGGGGTTGCACCCCATGCCAGCCAAAAGCTGAGCGAGATCTGGCCCTGGCCCCATCCCTGCTTGGCGGAACTGGGAGCACTGGGACCCTGTCCATGGGCTCCCCCATGCCTGGGGCAGAGTGCAGTGGGGACAGACAGCCCTCGACCAGGAGTCTGCCCTCACCTCTGCAGAGAGACTGGGAGGCATGGGGGCTGCCAGTGGCCACAGACCATAGATGGGGCTCAGGATCCTGGGATTTACTGCGGTCTGAGAGCAGGACCTTTAGGGAAACTGCTGGAGAGCCTGCACAGCACTTGCACCACAACCCCCCACCGTCAACCAGCCCCTGCCTGTCCCATCCAGATGGAGCTGGTGCTGCTTCTCATCAGGCCCCAGAGGCCTTGGAAGAGGGTGGATAAGAGGAGCTGTGCTCCCACTCCCTGGGCTTGCAGGGTTGGAAGAGGTTACTCTGGGATAAAGTGGGCTGCAGCCGGGACAACCAAGCCCCATGGGGAGGTGCTGGCCAGGCCCTGGGGGCTCTGCAATGGGTCTCTGGGAGGGAAGTGAAATTCCTGGCTCCAGCTGCTGGAGACATAGTGTCCCCTCCAAGGACCCAGTGCAGAGGGGGGCCAGGTTGTGAGGTCAGGGTCACAGGCAGATTCTCCAACCGCTCCTTCCTTTTCTGGGACTGTCTGGACAATTGGACCCCGCTCTGCCAACAGCATCTCCGAATGGAGGCTGATGAGGGTCCTGTTTCCTCTGGCACCCCTGGGACACAGAGCTGTAACCCTCTGTCCTGGGGTCCCCGTGTCTCAGGCTCTCCTTCCCTGGGACAGGCCCCAGCTGTGGAAGTCAGAGAGCAATCCGGGAAACTGTTTTCCACCAGGGAATTTCCCCCAGGGTCTGCTGGGCCAAGCAGGCAGGGAATTTCCCCTTCCTCCTTCTCCTCCTCCTCCTCCGTGCTGTCTCCTAAGGTGGCCCATCTCCCACAGGGAAATCCCCCTCTGTGCCTCCCGAAGCTCCCAGCACACACCCTGTCTGCAGGGATCCTTCCTGCTGGGGGAGAATCCCTGTCCTGGGAAGCCTTTTAGTCTTGCGCAGTGGGGGTGCTGCTTGGTCCGAGCAGTGTCCGTATCCCGGGGAGCTCAGAGGTCAGACCCTCCACGGTGAGTGCTGGGTGTGCTTTGGGAGGCAGAGGGGGTCCAGCTGCCCCAGACAGAACCCCTGTCCCTGCTGCTGACCCCTTTGCCTTTCCCTGCAGAGGCACTGGTGTCTGAGCCCCTGGGCACCAGGATGGGCCCCTGCTCAGAGCCAGTGGCCCCTCTCCATCCCTGCTGGCGTGGGCATGGCCCCGGGGCACCAGTGGGACCCCCTGAACCCGGCCCCCGTGCTGGCCGGGAGGTGACCCGGGGGGACAAAGCATCTGCCTGTCTGGGGACCGACGCTGGCTGCTGCCTCCTGCTCTTGTGTTCCAGTCACAGAGGGAGACAGGGCCAGGCATTGTCTGCTGGGAGCGGCATTCCCAATTGCCCGGGCAACTCACGAAGCCCAGCTCTTTCTGGAGGAACCAGGGCCTTGTGGAGATAGATTTTTCCATTGCACAAGAGAAAGAAATGACTCCTTCCAAAGAATAAATAGATGGGAAGGAGTGAGCTGGTGCTGAGCCGGGGCTCCGGCTGGGGTGAGCACTGGATGATTGCTCAGAGCCACAGCCAACGACCTGCTCCTTGGCGGAGCTGAACAGATCCAGATGCTGCTGGGGCAGCTCAGAGTCAGCACGTGTGCCGTGGCCCGGGGGGCATTCGGGACTGTGCTGACCCCGTCCTGCTCGGTGTCACCCTGGGGATGGGCAGGACAGGCCCTTCCCTGGTGGGGGACAGCCTGTGCCATGTCCTCATGTGCTGCTGCTCTGTGTCCCCAGAGAGCTGTGAGGGGGTGGTGTGCGGCCCTGACAAGGTCTGCAAGATGAAACACGGGCGTCCCCAGTGTGCCTGTGCCCCAGACTGCTCCAGCCTGCCCCGCAAGCTGCAGGTCTGCGGTTCTGATGGCTACACCTACCGGGACGAGTGCGACCTGCTGACAGCCAAGTGCAGAGACCACCCTGACCTCGAAGTGATGTACCAGGGCAAATGCAAAAGTAGGTGCAGTTGAGCCCCACCCCGCTGTGTCCCATTCCTATTCTGTCCCTGTCCTATCCCCATCCCCTGTGGTCCAGGGAGAGAAGGTCCATCCCAGTGCAGAGTCTCACCTGCAGGACACAGGTCCCGGTGCCCAGTAAGGGGACACTGTAGCCTGTTGGTGCTCTGGGGTTTGGCCTCACTGCAGCCTGAGCAGTAACAGTCCCTAAAATGTCATTTACAAACGTCAAGCCCCTTTTTTTCCTCTTTTGTAAAGGGCGCAGTGATCCTCCTGGCTCTGCCAAGAGCTGTCAGAAGGATTATGGTTATTTTTCCAGCCCTGCTCTCTGGAAGGCTTTGTCTGTCAAGCTCTGGGCTGAGCAGGGAAATGTGGGGCAAGAAATGGGAGTTTGGGAGTTGCAGATGCCAAATCTTCCAATCCAGCAGGGAAAGAAAGAGAGGAAGGTGGAGAGATGATGGGAGTGCCTGAGCCCGCAGTGCCACCACCTCCCAGCAGAGCCCTGTGCAGGACCTGATCCTGCCGCACAGGCTCCCTCCACCCCCACGCGCCCTTGCTCCAGCGCTGGGTCGAGTCCAGGGTGACCCTGCCCTTCCCTCTTGCCGGGGCCAGCACGGCGGCTGCCAGCCTGGCTGCAGCAGCTGCTGCTTCCCTGCCAAGGCACCTGCGTGCGGCCGCTGGCCCGGCCAGGTCCCGCCGCGCCAAACGGGCTCAGCCCCGCGCTCCACCACTGCAGCTGGACCTCAGCTCCTCCCGTGCGGCAGAGCTCTGCCTGGGGCTGAGCCTGAGGGCCACGTGCTCCCTCACACTCAGAATGTCCACCCCTGCCAGCCCCTGCCCTTGGGAGCCCCATCGATGGGGGAGACTGGGACCATTCAGCTCCTCTCTGTTCCCCAATAGCAAAAGTCGGGAGGTGACTGGGTTTCCTTGGGATGGTGTTCGCTGTCCACCGGGGTTGGGGGAGCCGCAGGAGGGGTGGCCTTCCTCGGGTCACCCCAGCCCCTGTGCTTCCCTGCAGAGTCCTGCTCCAGCGTGGTGTGCCCTGGCACCCACACCTGCGTGGTGGACCAGACGGGCAGTGCCCACTGCGTGATGTGCCGGACAGCTCCCTGCCCCGAGCCCACCAGCCTGGACCACGCCCTGTGTGGCAACAACAACGTCACCTACCCCTCGGCGTGCCACCTGCGGCGGGCCACCTGCCACCGCGGCCGCTCCATCGGCGTGCGCCACTACGGGAGCTGCTCAGGTGAGCCGGGCAGGGCGAGGGGTAGAGCATGGACCTGCAGCCCCTGCTCACCCCTCACCCCCTCCTCACCGCTCCTCTCTGCTTTCAGCTGCGGCCAAATTCTCCGCAGAGACGGACAGCGTGGAAGAAAACTACGTGTGAATCCTCCCTGGGCCGAGCCGGAGCCGGGAGACAGGGGCATTATGTGTATATTGTACAAACCATATACCTGATATTTATTAAGATAAAAAGATCCTTATTTATCCCTGTGTATGTTATGCAGTCGCAGGGGGCTCGATTCCCATCCTGCCAGCCGGGGAGCAGGGGTGGGGGCTCACGGCCAGAGAGATGCTGAGTTGCCCTGGGATGCTTCGGTGCCCACCTAGTGCCCGGCAGAGCTGTTCTCTGACCAGTACCCTTCCTTGCTGCCAGTGTGGTGTGGAGGGGTGTCCGTGGGCCCCCCCCATGTGTCCTTGGCCGGCAGCCCTGGGCCTATTTATTTTTGGATTAATTCTCAGTACTCTGCTGACGTTTCTGGCTGGGACCTCGAAGTCTAGAGGGAATCTGTGCTTTTGCCTTCCCTGAGGGGCTCAGCCCCAGCTGCCAGCAGCAGGAAAGGCAGTGCATGCTGCATCAGTTTGGAGAGAGATAGATATATATTTTTATATATATTAAAAAAAATATATGTATGTTATTGTCTCCTAAAGTTTCAGCATGTGTGTGTTCAAACAGATTTCAGTTTAGGTCTTCCCAGCCCATTCAGACCAGGCTCTCACCGTCTTCGGAGGTGATGCCGGTGCCCTGACAGCTGGTGCAGTGGCAGCCCTATCTGGGGGGCAAGGCCATTCTCCCTGGACCACTGAGCCCCCACCCAGAGCCCATCACCCAGAGCAGCTGCCCCCAGCCCTCTTCATCCCTCCCTGCCAGAACAGCTTCAGATGAAGCCCAGGCTGCAGGGAGAGATGGCCCTGCCCACCCCTCCAAGGACCCCCCCACCGCAGCTGCAGGGCCCTGTACCCCCTGCTCTGCCCACACCTGTATTTATTTTTATTCCTTCTCGCCTTTCTTCTGTTGTCACCTGTGTAAATACCAGCTCAGCTCTGACACCAAAAAGCTCTTGACTTTATATAAATATAATTTTATATATATATATTACATATAAAAATACCTTATCTTCTTCTTTTGTATGAGTGGATTCTGACCCTCAAGGCAGACGCTTTGGGAACACCCACATTCTCTGCTCTGTATTGTTGGGGCATTTTATGGCTGTGTTAGAGTTGGATTATAATTATAAACCAGATTAAATGGTGCTGTGGGTCTGGTTTTGTTGGGCAGGCTCTGGGGCCGCAGGAGATGTTGTTGTCCCTGGGGCTGTGCCCCTGTGCCGGGCTCTGGGGCTGTGGGGAGCCCCCAGCAGCGGTGAGGAGCCGCATCCCATCTGCTCCGGCTTGGCGCGGGGGTTCTCCAGCCCGGCCAAGGCTGCTCAGCGCAGCGGGAGGGAAGGGGAGAGCAGGGAAGAGCGAGCCGCGACGCAGATAAATCTGTTCCCAATCTCGGGCTGTGCCATGAGGGTTTGGTATTTCACAAAACAATTCCTGCCGGTAATTGGGTCCCGATGTGGGATGCTTCCCGGGCGGCAGCCTGTGGCTTGACTTGCTGAGCTCCACAGGAACTCCCTCAGCTGCATCCCCTGTGTTGGGGGCCAGCATGGCACAGCCCCCTAACCCCCACCAAGCCCCTCAGAACCATGCCCAGCCCAGGAGTGCATTGCAGAGAATCACTGAATCCTTTAGGTTGGAAAAGACCACTTAGATAACCCAGGATGGTCATGGGACTTTCTCCTGCAGCCCCTCCCTGTCTGCCCAGCTCAGCCACGTCCCCCTGCTCTTGGGGATGGGTGTACAGGAGTTCCCAAAACGCTGCCCATGCCCTCCTGGGTGCCAGCGCTGCTGCACACAGTGGTGTGTGGCCTGGGTTCCTCCCCGCCCGCCCGCAGCGCTTCCTGCCCATGGCAGCTCCTCGTCCTCCTGCCCCGCCGCAGGGCTTGGCCCCGGGAGTGGCTGGTGCATGGCCCCGTGCCCAGCCCGCGGGCACAGGCTGCGGCAGCAACAGCAGCTCCTGTGATGAGCGGGAGATTTCAGCCTCCAAAACGTGGCTGTGAGTCAGGCGCCGCCTTCTCACCAGTTTTTGGGTGGTCTGGGACAAGCTGGGACAGGCGCCGGCTCTCCAGGCTGCCTGGCAGCGTGCGGAAGCCCTGGGGCTGGCAGTCCTGTCCCAGCATTCCAGGGGGTCTCTGCCCTACACTGGCTCTGCCAGCACCCCGCTGGGATTTGGGGCTTCCTTGGATGCTGCAGCCTGGCAGGGGCCTGTCCTCTACTGGGTGTCCCCACGGCCACTGGTGACCGCGGCTTGTGTCCCCTGACCCTGCGCAAGGCCCTGCAGCAGCCGCAGTGTGCCAGCAATTTGCAGATAAAACAAACAGCCAGAAGCAGGGAATGTCTGGGTCTGTCCTCGGAGACGGCCACGATGCTGGGCAGAGCCACACATGTCTCAGCTGAGACCCAGCAGCAGCTCAGCACATGTCCCCTGGCCACTGTGGGCACCCAGCTCCCACGGGGTGAGGGCCCGTCTGTGGGCGGGGAAGGTGGATGAGGCTCCTGTCGGATCCCTGAGGGCTCTGCCAGCACAGCTGGGAGCCCGCCTGACCCCAGGGGGTGTCTGTGGTTCCCCTGTTTGGGGGGTCCCATAGAGCAGTGGGAAGGGTGTGGTGTGGGACGGGATGGAACAAGATGAGGCGGGATGGGATGAGATGGGCTGGGGTGGGACGGGATGGGATGAGACGGGATGGGATGAGACGGGATGGGATGGGACGGGATGGGGAGCCCCACCCCTGGCAGAAAGGCAGCTGTGGTGGCAGCACCTGGATGCAGATCCTGGCTCCTCTGGGGCAGGGCCTGGTCCTGAGGGAGGCCACGTTCCCCTTCTTCCTCCTGCACCCCCTGCTCCATCCACCCACACCCAGGACAAGTTGGGGTGACCAGAGCACAGAGGGAAGCAGTGGGATGGGGACTGAGGGTTTATTGACAAAGGAAAATGTTGCTGCCGCAAGAGGCTGCATGAGGTGCTGGGGGTTCTGGTACAGCCTGGGGGGGATGTGACACTGCTCACTAATGGGCAGAGGGGGGGTCCTGCCCTGACCTGGGTCAAGGAGCCCTGAGTATCAGCTCCCAGCCCCCACCAGGGCTGGAGGACGTGGGAGTTCTGGTCCTATTCTCACCTCCTGGGAGACATCTGAGCCCCTCTCCCCATAGCCCCTCTCCAGGACCCCCTCCCAGCCATGTTATGGCTTTGGTCTCCCCTTCTGATAGCGGGGCCCTCGCACAGTGCGATGCACCCAGTCAATGTAGTTGGAGATCTTGGTGTAGATGTCGGGGAACCGGCGGTCCCCACATCTCTTCCCGGAGAATGAGACAATACCATAAACCTTTCCCTTGAAGATCAGGGGTCCCCCGGAGTCACCCTGCAAAATGAGGAGTTTGGAGGGAGACCAGTGGGTCTCCCAGTGGGGGCAGTGGGGTCTGGAGCCGGGGGAGCACTCACGGCACAGACGCCCTGCAGGGTGGCGTTGCGGCTGGCCCCGCACAGCATGTTGGCCGAGACCTTGCCCCTCCACAGCGCCCGGCAGAGGCTGCGCTTGACGATGGTGGTGTTGGTCTCCATCAGCTCAGCGGGCCGGTCGCCGTAGTTGGAGGTGTCCCCCCAGCCCACCACGCGGCAGACGGTGCCGGGTTTCAGGTCGATGTGCGGAGAAGGCAGGCGGATCCGCTTCACGTACTCGTTCAGTGTGGCCGACTCGTTCAGCTGAGTGGGTGGACGGGGCATGGACGGCTTTGCTGATGGGCAGAGCCCTCCAGCTACTCCTGCCAGGGACCCTCTCCACCCCATAGCCTGCCTCTGTCCCAGCTGACCTGTCCTGCTGACCCCCCCAGCCCTGCCCTTCCCTCTTCAGAGGCTGGGCCCCCCCAGCACTCCTTCTGCACTGGTCCCAGTCTGCTCTAGAGACTGACTGCCTGGGAGTCACTGACCCGGACAGTCAGCGTGTCCTTGGTGCCTCCATCGCACCCACGGCTCGGTCCGTCTTCTCCGGAGAAGCACTGACATCTAGTGTCGGTTCGGCCCCGCGTGGGCACCCGACCTCCCTCCCGTGCCCCGGGGCGTGGGGCACCCCCCTGCCTGGCCGCTGGGTGCACGGTGGCAGGACAGCGGCACGCCAGACTCACCTGGAGCAGGCGGATGTCGTTGTCCACGGAGCGGGGGTTGTAGCGCGGGTGGGCGATGGACTCAGCCACGGAGAAGACCTGCTGGGACGCCTCGGGCTCCTCCAGCCGGTGGGCACCCAGCACCACACGCACCGAGGGGCTGCTCCTGTGGCCGGGGGAGGGCCTGAGCAGGTGCTGCCGAGGCTGGGGGCCATCAGGGAGAGGGGGTGGCCCAGGGGAATGAAAGGGGAGCACAGGTGGGAGGGGGCAGCTCCAGGACTGTGTAACCCCCTGGCATAGGGGTATCAATTAGAAGGGGTCATGCTATGTTCAGGGGCAACAAGGCTCACCTGGGAATGATGCAGTGGGCAGCCGTCATCACCCACTTGGGCCACACAAGAAAGCCCCCGCAGACGTGCTCCCCGTCCATCTGAATGGAGGCGATGAAGGGCCGGGAGTGGGGTGCTGCTGCCTTTCCCCCGATGATCCGGCTCCCCTGGGTGCCTGGTGGGTGCAGGTGATCGTTGGCCTCCTCTGTGCCACACGGTCTCCATCTCCCACCCTGGGGACCTGTGGCCAGCTTACCTGCTGGGGCCAGTGCTGGGAGCAGGATGGAGCCTCCCAGGCTGATGATGAAGAACCCAGCCATGACCATGGCGGTGCAGAGCAGGCCACTGTTAGCACTGCTGGGGCTGCTCGGGGTGGTGGTGCTTAAATCCCTCTGGGGGCTGAGCCTTGGGTGCCAGCGGGCATCTCCCTCCTGCTTCCTCTCTCCGGGTGTTGCTGCTTTGTGCAATTCAGGGGGTGGGGGGCCCTGGCACTGCCGTGCAGCTTCCCCCTGAGTGGGAGAGGGAGAGCGGAGCAGCTTCCCAGTCCTGACTCCTCCTGTGACTTGAGCTGACTGGGATGAAACCTCTCTCTTGGTAGGGAGGTGGGAGCAGCAGGACTCCAGGACACCTCCCAGAACACGGCAGCATCCCTGGGGTTACTGTGGGTCCCACAAGGATGGTGCTTGCTCCCACCCAATGCCTCTTTTGGCTTCTCCAGAGCCCTGCTGGCTCTGGGATGATGTTGAGGACAGAGGGGCAGTTTCTTCCCCCTGTTCTGCATCATCTTGGAGTGCAAAAAGGGGTGCAGGGATGTGAAATACCAGGCTGAGGGTGCACGCTGACGCTTGCTGCAGAGCCAGGTTTGCTCCAGGGCCGGGTGCGAAGCTCTCCCCCAGCAGCAGGCAGATTTCCCAACGGGGGGCGGCTCGGGGCTTCCTGTGGCAGTTTGCCCATCGCGGCCGTTGGGTTGGGAAACGGGGGAGCGGAAAAGGGGGAGCAAAGAGACGGCGGTGCCTGGGGTGGGGCAGGATTGAGGGGCTGCATTCACAGGAGGGGGTTGCGCATTCGCAGGGGCTGCATTCGTGGAGACGCTGCGAACACAACCCCTCCAACCTGTCCCGCACCGGGCATTGATCACTCGAGACTCGCCTCGGGACCCTCAGCAGCAGCCCCAGCCCCGGCGGTGCCGGCGCCCCCAGGCCGGGTGATGGGCGGCGGCAGTGGCGGGGCGCGCCCGGCAGACGGAGCTGTGCGGGAGGGAGGCGGGAGCACCGGCGCGGTCCCGACATCTCTGCGCATCCCGCAGCCCCGCCGGGGATGCCGCCGCCCGCCGGGCCCTGAGCGCCGGGACGCCGGCGGACGCCGGCCCCGCTCCGCCGCCCCCCGCCCTCGCCGGAGCCGTCACCGGGACCATGGAGTGAGTACCGGAGCCGCGCCGGGACCGCGGCACCGGCTCGGGGCTCCCCGGGCCCCGCCGGCCGAGCACCGCAGTGCCGGGGAGGGGGGAGCGGCGATCGGGGACCGGGGCTCGGGACCCCAGTACCGGAGCTGCGGGAAGCGCACACCGTCGGCTCAAAGAGCTCGTAGCAGTGGCTCGTACCCCCCTGATGCCGGGGCTGGGCAATCCGATCTCGGGGTCTCATATCCCCCTGGTCCTGGGGACTCAGCACCCCAGAACTGGGGACTCATATCCCCCTGATCCTGGGGACTCAGGATCCCAATACCAGAGGCTCGTATCCCTCATATGCTGAGGCTTGGGGTCCCAAAACCGGGGCGGGGGGGCTCACATTCCCCCGATGCCAGGGCTCGTGACCCCAAAACTGGGGGCTCACATCCCCTCAGGTGCCGGGGCTCAGAACCCTGATACAGGGGGCTCACATTCCCTCAGTGCTGGGGCTCAGGACCCCAATACCGGGGCCTCCATTCCCCCCAGTGCCACTCAGCAGGTGCGGCCCCTCCCCAGGTCCCTGCCCTGCCGAGGGGTGCTGGGGTGCTGGCTCGGGGTGGGGGGGCAGCAGCAGAGGCCTCCATGCGGGCGTGGGGGGTGCAGGAGGTGTCGGGGGTGTCTGGGCTGCCAGCGGTGAGGGAAGCAGGGAGTGGGGAGGGCGTTTGTTTTTGTGTTTTGAACCTGTTGTTGCCACTGTGTGTGGTGGGGCGAGTGGGTGGCAGGAGCTGCGGACCCCTCCCTGCAGTGGGCCCCCAGCCCCTGCCCGGGGACCCAGCTGTGGCCAGGGGATCCTCATGTATCGGTTCCCACCAGAGGGATCCGGACAGATGGACACTCTGACCCGGCCTCAGCCTTTGTGTGCTGTGGTGGGGCCCTGCCCGGCGCTTGGAGCCGGGCGGATGGGGGAAGGAAAGGACGGAGCAGGCGGGAGCCATTGGGATCTGCTGGCTGGGGACTGTCCTGCCTGCATTTTGCACCTCAGAGATGTCAGCAGCTGGTGCCAGGAGGGCATGGGACTGGGCAGCTGCTCCAGGTGCCAGGTACCAGCGCTGGCCCTGTCTCACCCAGGCCATTCCCTGCCTCCCGTGGCTCTGGTCCCCACCATGGAGAACCAGGGGTCCCAGCACCTTCTGGGCTTGGCACTGGGGGTTTCAGGGGCACCCAGCCAGCTCAGGGTCAGCCACCCTCCGCTCCTCACAGGCACCTCACCTCACACTGATCTGTTTTTATCACTGGCTACCGAGACACTGGGTGCTCAACAGGTCCTGCTCGCCACCCTCTGCCTCCCACTGGGAAGCCCTGAGAGGCCATGGGGCACTGGTGAAGGGCAGGGTGAGGGGTGTCCTGGAGTCGGGGTGGGCTTTGGTCAGCTTGGGGTTGGAACTGAACAGGAGGAACCCGTGGAGGTCTGAGGATGTTTTGGAGACTGGGGTGCAGTGACTGAGGCACTGGGGAGGCAGAGCAGCTCCCCATGCTGCTGGAGGGGACAGAGAGCTGGCCAAGGCAGCCCCACAGTGCCTCGGTCCCTGCAGGAAAGAGCCTTTTTAGGGAGGAAAATGAGTGATTTGCCAAGAGGCAGCAGTGAGGTGAAGGGCAGAGCCGAGGGGTGCGACGGGCCCTGGGGCGAGGGTGAGGAGCTGCCAGACCAGGCACGGGCTTTCTGGGGGTGGAGGCATCGAAGGCTGGGGTTGAAGTGGGGGATGGCATGGGGCAGGATTATGGCTCCTGTCCCTGGGCTCCACACGGTGCCCTTCACCCAGCTCTGAACTGGCCTTCTCAGCAAGGGCTGAGGAATCTGTGGAGGAGTGCGAGGCCTTTCCCCCACCAGCTCCATATGCTGGACCTGTCAATGTCTTTGGAGTGAAACTCCTCAAGTGACCTGGAGTGGGGGGCACAACCACAAAACAAAACAGTGCAGCCCCTCCAGCTGCTCACCTCCAGAGCCTGGTGGTGGGGCTGGAGGTTCAGGGGAGTCCCAGGGCAGGTGGGGACATGGCGAGGTGCTGCCCTGCCGTTGGCCTGGCTCTGCGGCAGCCAACGGGTGCTGGGGCAGGCACTGCTGCCTTTGCCTTGGCTCCTGTTCCACCTTGGCACCGGCAGAGGCTGGAAGAGGGTCCTGGCTGCCACAAGCCACTGGTGCCCCGGGAGGTTTGGCTGAAACCTTCCAACTCTGGTAAAGGCTGTGCTGGTCCCGCTGGAGCTGTTTGTCCTCCTCTGCTCCTGCCACCATCAGTGCTCTTGAGGAGCTGGAGATCTGTCTCTCCTGCCCACATCTGGCTGCTCTGGTGGTTTGTCTCGCTGGGTTGCTGCTCTCCCCTTGGCTCAGGAGGTGTCCTTGGAGCTCTCCCAGAGGAGGCCATAAAGCTCTGCCACAGATGGCCCAACAACGGCACCTGGCCCTGCTCGAGGCTGGCAGATCATGGGGTTCAGAGTTCAGCCACTGCTGTGAGACGGGGCCTCTCAACTGGACCTGCACTGCTGGGAGGAACTGGAGCTTCCCAGATTTCCTGGGAAGCCAGTGTTGGTGTTGGTGCTTCCTGGCCAGAAACAGCCCTTGTCTCTGGGTGGGGTGGTAGTTCACATGCCCAGAGCTGTGCCAGGAGCTGTGCTGGGGCTCCAGCACTGGAGGTGCCAGAGGAAACCTGGGGAGGTGCCGTGTCCTGGAGCAGGGTTGAGTGGAGGCGCCAGGATTGGTGCTGGAGGCACAGCCCAGGCTCCTGAGGCTCTTTATCTGGAGACAAGGAGCCCCCTGACCCCAGGCAGGAGCCACTGTCTGGGACAAGGATGAGCCTGGAGGAGCGAGAGGAGCCAGGTGGATCCTGCCCCAGACAGGTGTTTCCTGGTGGAGCTCAGCTGGACATGGGTTAACCCAACCCTTGGGCTTGGCACTGAGGACTGAGCTCCCCCCAGGTGCCAGTGCTCACAGGGGTGCCCCTGCCAGGATCCATGTTCCTGCCAGCTCTTGGGAGCCTCATGTGTGCCTGTGTTCATGGCACTGCTGTGGGAAAGCCACACTGCCCCATGTGAGCAGGAACCCAGGGATGGCTGGTGGCAGGAGCCAGCGCCGTGTCCCGGCCAGCACTGGGGCTGCCCATCCCAGCTGGCCAGTGCTCCTGGCTGTGGGGAGAGGCCAGCTCCACTCTCATTCATAAATCCTGGTGGGAGTTTCCCAGTGGAGCCTTGCTCCTCTAACTGGAAGGGAGCTGGAAACCCAAGTATTTGGAGGGTACTTGAACCATTGTTTGAAAGATCTGTAATTTTCCAATCAAACTCCCTCCCCAACCCTCCGTTCATCAAATATTCATGGGATCCATTTTCTCCTGGCACTCCCAGCCCACGTCTCAGCTCGAAGAATCAATCAGGCAGCTCCACTTGCTTTAATGCATCTGCGTTTTCGGGAGCCTGGGGCTGCCATCTCCTCCCCCCGCCTTCCCCCATCCCCATCCCCTCCCCGGGCAGCGGGGACGGCTGGGGCTGCGCCGGCAGCGTGGGGAAGGCACCGCTCACTGCGGGGAGGAATGGGATGGGTGCTGGGGTGATGCAGCAGCAGGGGGGGGAGGCAGGCACACGGTGGGGCAGGGCAGGAGCAGCCCCTGGGTACCAGGATCCGAGCAGGGTTCTGACCCTGTGCTGGGCACGCGGCTCCTCAGCTGCACGGATTTCTGACCGTCCTCGCCCGAGCCGCTGCCACTGATGTATCTGCCTTCGTGGTCAATGCATGGTGGCCCTCGGGTGACTGCAGCCCCCTCCCCTCACCTCTGCACCTTCCATCAGGGGCGTTCGATCGCTGCCCGTTGCTAAATGGCTTTAGGACAGAGCTTTGTGGCCTCCCCACGGCCACGTCACTCCAGGCCCGGCCAAGGGGCCCGGCTCCTGGCATGGCAACAGTGCTATAAATCAGTGCTGCTCCCTCGATTGTAGCCATTGCCACGGGCCCTGGGGCCCTCCCCAGGGTCGCTATGGGGGTCCAGGCAGTGGTGCCCGTGCAGGGCTCTCTCCTGCCTTCCCCTGGCTCTTTGCTGAGAGGGTGGGAAGGGAGCGGAGGTCAGAGGAGCAGAGAAGCAGCTTGAAATGGCTCTTCGCACATTTGGATGAGCTAATGGGAAAAAACAGAGGAAGGCAAATAAACATTATTGTTTCATGTCAGGCGGGAGGAGACAAAAGGTCACGGGCTTCCCTTGTGATGGTGGGAAATGGCAGCATCAGCAGGGCTGGAAAGAGCTGGAGAGCCAAGGGAGAGCGTGGGTGCAGGCGTGTGTGTGCTCACACACGTGCGTGGGTCCAGCCTCAGGTCCGGGAACTGGGGCTGGGAGCTCCCAGGGCACCACCCCCCATGTCCCCACTCCCTGTCTGGTCTGGTGGTTCAGAGGGTGAGGGTGAGGGGTGTGGTGGCCCCACCTTTCCACTCTTCCAGAAGGATCTGGAGCATCAGAACCCCCAGGGAGACCCCAGTGGTGCCACGGTTGTGGCCCATCGGTGCTGCCAGAGTGCCAGGCCTGGGGAGTGGTACCCCTGGCCCCAGGGGGCCCCTTGATCCCTCCACCCGCCTCGTGCATCCCCCCCACAGCTCACCCGTTGCCATGGCACCGTTACCATGGTGCTGTTGCCAGACAACCATTTCCAGGGAACCACCCCCATCAGTCACCAGGGACGGTGGCAGCGGGAACCCTTCACAGCAGCCCGTGCTGACCCCTGGAGACAGGTCATGGCAGGATGGGGCCGTCGGGGAGTGGGGGACCCTCCACCTCATTTCCCGGTCCCAGCAGGCAAGGACTGGGGCTGCTGGGGTGGTTCCCACTCAGCCCCTCTCGATGGATCAGAGTCCCCAGGTCAGGGGCTGGGGGGCTGGGAG